TCTTACACTCCCGTCGAGGTGGTGGAAGAAAGAGTTTGAGAGAGCGAGAGCCGGTGTCAATGGCAGGTGCCATTCTTACCAATATTGCAGAAGCTGAAGCAGGAGTAGTTGTTGAGCTGTTTTGCAGAGCCAGTTAACAGTAAAGAGTGGGCGAAAAGAGAGGTTCTTGCAGTTACTGTGACCTCCCTTCCTGAATTGAAGTAAGCTATAAGCTCTCCCATTACCTACTCCATCTCTGTGAGGCATGCCTTCTGAGGCAGCACACATTGGCCAATCTGGTAGACCCTAGCAGTAGTCATACTTCTGATTGAATGTTCGTTGAAAGAGAGAAAAAGTTGGAACTTTTGAAAAAATTGGAAAAGAAAAATGTCGAGTTGCGGAACAATGTCATAAGAGAAGCTAGACGGCTAGGAGTTTATGTGCCGCATTTCTCAACTGTTGGCTTGACGTTTGTGGGAGTCGAAGGGCTTCAGTCCCCGACGCACAGTCCGTACTTATAGTCCAGTAGGGCCTTCTTTCCCCTTTTTGCGCATCACTAGTGTGCTTCTCTTTCCCATGAAAAAAGCGGCGAGTCAATGAGGGAAAGGTAATCATAGGCATCAACATAAACTCCAGTTGATACTAGCTATAGAGAAGAGACTGATTTGCCTAGAACAAAATTAAACGCATGTTACGACTGCTCTCCATGTTTCAAGTATCCTGCTGAATCGTCCTACCTCTAGCACTCGTTTTTCCCAATGAGCCCCCATTGTACCGGGACCTCCTTGATCTTCGATCTCTGCACCTTCTAGTGTCGGACAATTGAAGTAGTACCGAGCTTCCTGTCGCACTTTCGGTGTGACAACCATGTAAACATCGCGGTTGAGCTGGAAAAGGTAGTCGTTTATCTTTCAATTTCCGCGGCACTCGATTTTCCATGGAGGTTAACACAATCAGTTTCTTCGAAAGGCTAGACAACGTATAGTCTGTAAGATTGCAATCAGTTGGAGGCGGTGTAGAGAGCGGGATGAGCCCGCCTCCAGCTGCGGCGCTCCACCAATGGTGATCGCTTAGTGATCGATTCAATCGATTGAGGAAGAAATTAACCACTGATGGCAAGGCAAGGGGTGATGACAATCATCCCCTCTGTGTACAAACGAAGTCACGATTTACAGTAGAATTGCTTTGACTAGGGCATGCAACCCGGTGAACTCTCCGTCATGCGTCATTCTGCAGCGGCCAGGTGCCTGATGTGCCAGCGATTTAAAACCTAACGCGTTTGATACCGTGGTCACATATTTGATTTTGGGAGCCTCCCTCCTGAGAGCCACCGCACATGGTGCATTCAAGAGTGGTGTTACAATGGGGAACAGCGATCAGCCAAACGTTCACCAGAAAAGGTTTATAAGTCATATCGGCTAAGTAATGGGGCATACACCGTGTACGTATCTGAATGGTGGCCCCGGCCGTGAGAGTCCATATCCCTTCCCTAGACCCCAGTTCTTCTCGAAAATTGCTGCGCAGTTGGAAGGATCGAGAAGATGGTAGGTAAAATGAGAAGGGAAAGTCGTTCCGAAAGAGGAAGTTTTTTGTGTGGTGTGTTGTTCCACCACTGCCAAATCCGATGCCGTACTCTGTTTCCTGGAGCCCTGTGGAAGCAGGCTATGATTTCAGCCATTGAGACATGCTTAGAGAAAGCAAAGTATACTCTGAATGGTGCATCCTCCCAGTGGCGTCGTTTAGGACGGACCGGACGAATGACGTGCAGACTAAGCAGTAGCCGGTATCATTTCACTATTTTGACTCCAGAAACTGAGAAAAGATCAATATCAGTGATAGGAAGAAGAGACTAGAAGAGGTTGTAGACACGTTGGTTTTGTAATGGGACCCTTCTCTTGACGACGACGGGTATTCCAGACGGGTAGCGCACTGAAACAACAGCAATACCCCTTCTGTTAATTTAGGCCCCCTTCCATGAGGCCTTCTAGCCTTTTTGACCAAGTCTCTCCGGCATCGGCCTGCTATCCCCTGTTCTCCACACATCTTTTTCTGGAGCTAGTGCCAACTGATGCCAATATTCGCCGAACTAGCGCCACCGCTTCTTCCAACAATTTACTGCGAACTTGTTTTTGGGAGTAGAGGATTGCAAGACATAGTTGCCCCAGGGTGGCAACTGCGCATGACGTGGGACGGTAGGCCAAGCTTAGGCAAGGACGAGCCTCAGGCTCGTGGGTAAGAGGAAAGGGGGACGGACGACGACTGCACTAGACAGACGGACGACTGCAAACTCCACTGCATGAACTCCAGCCCAAAAAACTGCACGTGGGCCCAAAAATGGGGAGTTGCGTCGAATGGTCAGCGAAGAGACAGCTGCGCGGCGAGACCCCAGTGCGGCCTGCGAAAACGGTCCTTTAAACATGGCAGTTGTTGACAGTTGCGCGTGCGGTACTGCGCAATGGACGTAACGGCGGACCGATGCGAAGAAGTCGTGCAGGAGTCACGACACCGACCATGAATACTATCACTATCACTATGTCCATTTTGGCGTTGGCTCTATTTGACAGTAACAGGCGCCAAATAGTTGCCACTACCTTCTTCAGCAAAAGTTATATAAACTTACAAACTTACATGCTAGGATCATTTGGCACTCTTCTTTACAAGCATGACATTCTGAATCTGGCGAAAAGAGAATCAGGCTTACTCTCTGGTTCAGCCACAGCACAGCGCCAAGTGGAGCCGAAAAACGAATGTCATATTCGTGACCGGGTACTGAATATCTTTGTAGGCTGAGTTTCATCAAAGACTTGTTTGAGTTTCTGGAGCACCAATAGCGGATCAATGCCGCCAGAACTTCAGGCACTTGGCTTGGCGCTTTGCAACACCGTGACGCTGTGTTGGTTATGTTCCTGACGCGTGTGTATCATGACAATATTTGCAGCACCTTGACCACGACTGAAACGCGCCAACTGAATCC